GAAGCTCCCAGAAGATCGCCTCCTCCGACTGGGACTTCCCGCTTCCCGATCTTGACCGAGTACCTGTGCGCCTTCCAGGTCGCCCCGCAGTACAGGCGCCCCCTGAACCCGCCCGCTGGCGCCATGTAATTGCGCCCCCCGTTCCTTGGGCAAAGACAACTGCGCGCCACCTCCGGGTGAGAACTCACCCTTGTCGCCGAGCTGGTCTCGGTGTCCAGTACGTAGCTCTCTTTCAGCTTGTCCCTGCTGCCGAGGATCATCATTGCGGGGTAGTGGTCCTTGATGAATCGGTCGACTATCTTCTGCCTGCTGCTCCTGCTGATCAGGCGCGTGATCATGAACGCAGCCCGCCAGAACGGACCAGTGCGCCTGGGCGTCCTCTGGCGCTGGCTTGAACCGCCGAGGCGCCCACAGCAACTGGATGCGAATAGTATGGAATGGGCGAAAGCGCCGCCGGCACGGAAACCCGTAAAACTGAGGTCGCAAGCTGACTCGGCGCGCAAACAGCTTCGGTGTTTGTTTGATATATGGCCACGGCCGAGAAAAGGGGTGTTTCGATGTATTTCCACTTGGCTGTTTCCTTCATCACCCTCGTCATCCTCGTGGATGTTTGCAGCCCGAGACTAGCCCTGCTGCCATTTTGTCTTGTCGCATTGCTGATTGAACTTGTTTACGTCGCTCATTTTGTTGCTGTTCAGCTCCCGCTTAGATAAGTGCGCTTGCTGATGCTGCTCGTTTTGCTGATGATGACCCTGCGGGGGCTGATCGTGGCCCTGAAGTTCCTGATGATGTTGCATATGACGGCAACCTTCGCGATGTTGGCGGGATGATATTGAGAGCGACGACTGGTTTTTCAAATCTTCCCGCGATCACACAGCAACTGCATGCGCGTCCAAGGTGAAGCCACCGGCCACATGGAAACCCGCGCACGGCCAGTCGTCGATCCGAACGGCGAGATGTTCACTCTTAGACATCACCAACTGCATGTTCGGAAGGTCGGTCGCCAGGAAATGGGCCCGAGCGTTAGCCAGGTCGATCGCGCAGCCGAGGTCGGTCATCAGGTCTCTGCCGCCGAGAAAGGGGGGCCGCGCCGCGCGGGAGTCGTCGATCGTCGAAGCATGTATGATCACGGCGCGCTTGTGAATCCCAACCGGCAGAGACCACCCCGATCGGTACTTGTACTCGGAGATCCTGGACCAAAACGACACTGCTTTCGTTCAGGTCGAACCCGCACATGCAGGTCCATAGGATCCAGGAAACGCTTCTGCAACAACTTCAAGCCATTCAGCCCAGCCACGGTAGTCTGGCACGCAGTGTCCAATACCAAAAAACTTGCATCAATGTCGATGTTCCCTGCGCTCAGAACATTGGCAGTCGTCGTCATCATGTAGACCGTCCGTTCCATGTGAAAGCTCCTTGCTGATAAACCTGGTGTCTGACCATCATTGTCATAGGTCAGCATGATATGTCGCGCGTGTGCTTGGGCCCGCGAACTGGGGCTCGGTCCTCGCGCAGACCATAGTCAAGCACAGCTTCTTCTACTCGTTGTTGGTCAACTGACGGTGCCCGACCCCCCAGGGTATAATGAAAATTCGACGTCGCTGCCATCGCGTGATGTCCGTATTCTGCCTCTGCCACATTTGGTGAACGATTGGCCGTCGCGCCCTGCCTGGTGGTCGATCCTACGGACGACGCCGCGCCTGGGCCCGATCGCAAACCTGGCCCCGCCTCCGTCGTCATCGCTTTGCACTCTGGGGGCTGTGGCATTTACCCTGTTCGCTTCGTTCGCGTGGCGTCGACGATTGTGGCGGGCGCTTGCCACTCGGAGAGCGACGCTGGCGATCTCTGGCCCAAATGGCCCATCAAGCCGCGCGCCGAACAGCTCGTCGCCATCTTCAGCTCCTCCAGAGACATGCCTCGTCGTGCTTGTCATGGAGCAGTGGCTCTCCCTTTGCCATTGCCGAACGTCTTCGAGCCCTTGCCGGGTCTCGACTTGCCGCTGCCCTGTCCCTTGGAGCCCTTCGCGCTGTAGTAGCCGCGGGCCCTGTTCGCCTGATTGAGGCGGTCGTGGGCCCGCTCGAAAGTCACGTGCGCCGCGTGCATCTCTCGTGCCAAAGACTAGGGGAGCCACTCAGACCAGAAACTGTCATCCGCTTGATCTTCGAACCAGCCGTCCTCGAACGACTACTCTGGATCTGCTTGATACTCTTCAGGTTGCCGCGCGTCGTTGTCGTCGTTCTGCCCGTTGCTGGGCCACTCGTCCGCCTGACCGTCAGCGTTCGCCATGTTGACTGCGCGGTGCTGCTGCCTGAACTTCTGGTCGCCCTGATACTTGTTCCGAGGGGCGAGCGGCTGAGGGAACAACGTCGCGGCCTGCTCCTTCAGAAGCTTCCATTTGGGCGATGGGCCCGCCGCCATCAAAAATGTTGCCTGCGTCTTAGCATCCAACTGCAAGCTCTCCGCGAACTGCCGAATGATAATCTTTTCGGGGGTTTCCAGCACCGCGGGCTTTGCATGCGGCGCTGCCTCATCAACTCTGGCCGCCAACTGTAGCAGGGTCACACCAGCCTTAATATGATCCATATGAAAGAAATCGCCCATCGCTTGCCCGATCTTCACCGGCCGGCGTGGGTCGAAACATGCCAACTTCTGGAGTAGCAAATCCACACCATCAGGGACAGCGAAGACTGAAGGCTTCTCGTCCTCAACATGATCGGACGGTTTGTCTTTGAGCGCACCGTAAAGACGTGGCCCCCATCTCCTCTGATCCGATGATGTTCTTTGCGAGCAGGACCCAGTTCTCGGCCAAAGACTTATACCGCTTGAACACTTTTGGATCCTCCATGTCGCCGTCAAGCTCAGGCGATGGAGGCAAATTTCCTCGCGGCCGATTGAGCGGGTCCTGCTTGCTCTTCCTTTTTTTCAGCCGGCTGAGGGCCCTGGTCATCGTCAGAAGGGCTCCTCATAGGCTTCCTCTCGCCACGATCCCTGAGACCGCGATCCTCGGGAACCTTCTCGACTGCCGGCGGGTGGGCCTCGTTCAAACATTGGGCCTTGTTCCAAAAGGAACTCGCTGTACGCTACCAATTCGATGGGATGAAATGAATAAACTCGTTTATTGAACTGTAATGAAAACGGTGCGGACTCACAAGCACGATGATCATCTTTATCGCCGGGTGCACACGGCGGGCGTCGCGCGCCAGCACGCTCAAGGGCCCTAAGCGGGGCCGAAACGGCATCGGTGAGAAAAGGGTGATAGCAGCACGAGCACGGGCACAAAGCGAGGGGAGAGGGACGAGAGAGAGAGAGGAGGAGGCAATCTACTTCATAGCAAGATTGCAGTTGTCTTCTCGGACCGATTAAACTTTGGTCCGGGATCAGCAATGCGCGCATGTATCGCGGGAGCGACAACTCGCGCCTCGGACCTGAGTTCACGCCCCAAGTTCTTAATGCACGATTCGGTCAAGTCAGAGCCTTACGCTGCCGCTCTAACGTCTTGGTCCAGTGCCCAACCGTCCACCCTTCTTCGTTCAAGACAATGCTCAGCACCAAACGGAACCCCCCTCAACCTTTCCTCTCGGTAATGCCACATGACGGCATTCCGGGGGTGCTAGATTGGTCGAAATCCCGGGGGATCCTTACGACAACTGGTGGCTGGCATTTTCCCACAAGAATTGCACTCTCGAAAGAAATTTAAAACGGGATACCAAAAAACAAACTAAACCGCCCCACAGAATTCCCCCGCCTACTCCGTGAACCAGGACACGATTCTTTACGGGACCTCCGGTAAAACCGGTAGCCTCGCTCGTGGCATTCCGTACATTGGCTTTCAATGAAGAGCTGAAAGAACTAACTTCAGAATCGATGAGAGCTGATAATTCGCGATCGGCATTCGTGTCCTGGTCCTGCCTCGACCTGTTGGGTCATGGTTTGGCATGTGTTCTCAGGGCACTTCTCTTGACATCATGGGTTGTATTCCGCCGCGTGGCCGATTGGTCACGTCAATGGCACGAACAGAACCATAACTTTCGGCTGATAGTTCTTTGTTTGCCAAAACTCCGGTATATTATGACATATCCAATGGCATGTTGTTCTTTCGTGCTACGCTATTTGTATGTTCATTCCCAGTGGTTGGAACGCTCATGGATGGCATTTTTCCTTAACAATAACCGTTGAATCAGTACCTACGGTAAGTAAGTGTAGATGTGCAGATATGGAACCAGTAGTATGTGCGGTTGAAGATCAACGTCAATGACCAGCCAGCGACAGCGGAGCGTGGCGGCGGAGAGCGGGCAGCGAAGGAGCTGTATTCACTCAGATCGACCAATGGACAGATCAATCATCGACTGGTGGATGGACGGATGAGCGGAGGAGCAACGCATGTACGGATGAATGGGCGGAAAACATAAGCGGGTAAGGATCTTCAGAAGGAGCAAGGGCGGAAAGGA